CACATCTTCACATGCTCCTCGTTAAACATCACATCTTCACATGCTCCTCGTTAAACCGTCACATCTTCACATGCTCCTCGTTAGATCATCACATCTTCACATGCTCCTCGTTAAACATCACATCTTCACATGCTCCTCGTTAAACATCACATCTTCACATGCTCCTCGTTAAACCATCACATCTTCACATGCTCCTCGTTAAACCATCACATCTTCACATGCTCCTGCTTAAACATCACATCTTCACATGCTCCTCGTTAAACCATCACATCTTCACATGCTCCTCCTTAAACCATCACGTCTTCACATGCTCCTCGTTAAACCATCACGTCTTCACATGCTCCTCGTTCAGCGGGACTTTCAGGCTCATGCTAGTGTCAATCTAAGTGTGTCAAAAGTCACATTCTTTCTTTTTTGACTGATTTTAAACGAGCTGAATTCTGATTTTCTGTGTTTGGACCAACAACAGAAACGCAGTCCGTACGAGAGGCGCACATGTTTGAGGAAGCAAACTGTTTAAATTTCAAATTTGTCGACGCCAGCTTGAGAGTGTGGCCCCGTCTGTGTTTGGAGCTGCAAGTTGTGCACAGTCTGTTGTGATTATGTATTCATAGAGCACAACCGTCGTTACACAAACACAACAATGTGTTTAGGCCAAGGGGGGATGGAAAGCCCAGTACCAGATGCAACGCATATTTAGCCCCCGACGCTAACGAAGACAGATGACTTCGCTCTACTGGAGCCCACGCTGTGAGAGAGGCCAGCATCATCACACAGACACACATCAGTCCGTGATAAATGGTGACAAACATGAACAGTGCACGTGTAATGACACCAAAAACATCAGTTTTTATGATGTCAGGATCATATGTGGTTGGATTAGACGTCCTGTTAAAGGCAATCTGGGACTATGTCAACGTGTCAAATGGCTTCTTATCAAGTCCTCTGAAGACCGTAGAACGTTTGATATAAAATGATTTTCCAATGGTTGTTTACACGTTGAATGGGAGTTGAGAAAGGCGTCCTTTTCCACACAACGATCAAATGATCCGGTTTGTTTTCATGAAACTGCATCAGATTTCCAGTTCAGACATGAAAGTTATGGATATGTCCTAAAACATCATCAAAACGAGAACTCGGTTAAACAAACGAGAATATTAGACTTGCTCATTTGTGAAAGTTGGTGTCACTGCATTAAAATGCTTTTCTATGAACCACTATCATAAAAGTTAAGAGTAGATCTTTAAAACGACAAAATATCAAAGAGTTAATTGTAACTAGTGTGAAGAACGATCCACTTGGGTCTTAATAGCTCGTCAGTCGTGTTGCAGCTAAACTTGAATTCTCCAATCTGAGCTCACTGTACAATCATCTGTAAGAGCCTGAACTGTTCATAACGTTTCATCATCATCGTCATCATCCATCAATCCATCATCTTTGTTTTTGGTCTGTGGAATGAAACCGGAGCACCTGGAGAAAACCCACGTAGCACAGAGAGAACATGCAGACTGCACCCAGAAAGGCCCCCAGACCGGGATTTGAACCAGGGATGCACTGATCCATGTTTTTCACTTCCAACACCGATACAGATATCTGAGGTTTAGTATCGGTTGATATTGATCCAATACCGATGTGATGCAGAAAACAATGCTGGATTAACGTAAAACATGTGTTCTTTACAAGTTTATTGAAAACTCTGCACCAGTACAGCACACTTCCACACCAGTAGCTTCACAAGCTTGGTGAAACTTAAAAACAACACAACTTACATTTGTTCAGTCAGTGCATTTATGAGTATAACATCCAATGTAAAATAAATAATAATAGTTCTAGAGGCATCTAATCAGACGCCTGAACTGCCTCAGACGTTGACTTTAATAATTCTGTTGAAACGGAGCTCGTTACTGTAGACGAATTTCCTGCCAGTGCAAGTCGAGAAGGTCGTAAATTAAAGGAAAAGCTGCACCCAGGTGGAGCAGTGGGCAGCTAGAGAAGTACCCGGGGAGCAATTAGGGATTGGGTGTGATGCTCAGAGACACCACGACATGTGGGCATGGCTGGGGATCAAACCTGGGATTTGGGGTCCTGAGTCGGCCGCCCCTGACCTTGTCGGCCTTTAGTGTTTGACTGTTGTCACAGTGTGTGGGTGTGAAGTGGAGCTTGTTGGCTGGTGTTGTGGTGGAAGGAGACGATGTTTAGTTTCTGCTCCTCCTTCCCTCTGCAGATGTTTAGTTAAATGGCTGTGTGCGGTGGGGGGGGGGGGTTAAAGAGGAAATGGGAAGGCCTGATGACAGAGACAACAGGAGTTTGTGCAGCTGTTTTACCGTGATGGATCTATTATCCAGCCATTACAAGATAAATGATCGATCTCTCTACCCCCCCCCCCCCCCCCCCCCCCACCACCACCACCACCACCACCACCTGCACGTTCTGCAAAATTGAAATGAGAAAAGAAAGGAGGAGCGCAGGGCGGGAGTGGGTCTTACGATGAGGGGCTAGGTGAGATGGCCATTAATTTAAAAGAGAAAGGAGGGAGGCAGGAAGAAGCGGTGACAGGAGGATAGGCCGACCTCACGCCGGGCCATCAATCAAGAGCGTGCACGTTGTCTCCGACGTGATGACCCAGCACTCTCTGCTGCTCTAATTAGAATTCATAGCCAAATAGATGCAAGGAAACGCTTTGGACCTTCATAATTTTACAGGAAATTTATTGTTATTAGAAGAACCATTTGCTTAGTGTGATTTTTCCATTACCAGCTTGTCACGCAGGGGGATCATGTGTCTGTGGGGGGGGGGGGGTCAGGTTTGTTGATGGGGCCCGGAGTTTACCTTGGAGCTGTGTCTGATCTGGGAAGTTGGTAAAGAATGTCCAAACCATGCAGCAGGACCAGAGTTCAAATGGGTCCAGGTGAGAACGACGACGGCTCCTAAAACTACAAGGTTCTGGAGAAACTGACAGGGAGGGTTACGTGGCGGCCATTTTTAATGGAGAACAAAATGCCTGGTTTGATGTAGAACATGTTTGTGTGTCTTTAAAGATGTGGAGGTAGAGTTTGTTCCATGACGTACTGAGTTTTGTTCAGAGACCACACCCCTACAGGTCATATGACAAGAACTTTGTGTCTGCTGCAGCTGGTGGCCGGCAGCGTGGTCATGGCCTTCGAGGAGGTGTGCCCAGAGCGCATCGACCTGATCCACAAGAACTACAGGAAGCTGTGCAACCTGCTGGTGGACGTGGAGGAGTGGGGCCAGGTGGTCATCATCAACATGCTGACGAGATACGCCAGGACGCAGTTCACCACGCCCTGGAAGGAGGTGCGTTTAGAAAAGCCTGACCACGACCCAGTCGGTCCCACTCACTGAGCGCTGAAGCTTCTGATCTCTACTGAAGCTTCTGATCTCTACTGAAGCTTCTGATCTCT